ATTTTTTTAATTATATATTAAATTAAAATAATATAATAGGAGACAACTTTAATAAATGCATTATATTTTTCAACAACTAATGAAATTTTTATTGTTTCATAGAGCGTAAAGGGTACTCTTGTCTATTTAATAAAGACATAATGGGACAACTTTAATCAATAAATGTAATTTATTGCTTATATATTTTTAAAAGATTAGTTTTTATTAATTAAAATTTTAAATCACCTAAATATTATTTTGTTTTAATGGTAAAAGAATAAATTAATCTCATTCTTGTTTTAAAATAAATTATTTTAGATCAATAAGGCTAAGTTGATAATAGGGAGGAAACTTGACCAAAATTTAAGAAGGGGCCAATTTTTTTTTTTTATCACATGTTAATATAATAATATAAGTATAACATATGTAAGAAAAGAGATGACTTGCTTAGCAACAAAAATTATAAGAGAGAACTCAACATGAAATATGATAGTATAAAATTAAATTATTTCATTTGCCCAAATTACAAGAGTTAATAGAGGAAAATTTAACAAATAAGAAAACAATTTAAGTTTATAATGTTACAAAATTTTATATTATAATTTAATAATAATGAAATAAAGCTGTTTATTAACATAAAAAATGAGATTATAAAATTAAATTATTTCATTTATAATGTGAGCCAACTTACAAATTATATAGGTTAAATCTTTAATTTGGTCTCTCAACTATTGTACAGATCTTGGATTTGGTCCATAAACTAAAAAAATAACTTATTTAATCCCTACATTTATTAATTTAGTCTCAAGTTGGTCATTTCGTATAAAAACAAATGATGTGTGTCATTATTAATATGACACGCGGTAGTTAAGTAATGGTTTTCTACAATTACATAATGAATACGGTTAGTTTTTTTTAATAGAGAAACCAATTTGAGATCAAATTAATAAGCAATAAGAATTAAATCAAAAGTACGTACAATTAATAGTTGAGGAACCAAATAAGCGATTTTTTTAGTTTATGGATAAAATTAAAGGTATGTATAATAGTTAAGAGACCAAATTGAAAGTTTAACCAATTATATATGATGGATAACCTTAAAGAGTAAGAAATTAAAATTTTTTAATCCAAAATTACAATTATTTAATCACTTGAAAAAATTAAATATAAATTTTAAATAAAAATTAAACATATTATATAAATGATAATTAAAATTTTTTTAATCAAATAAAAATACTTGTAAAAAATTTCATATTTAAAAAATTTTTTCAACTATTATTTATATAAATTGTTAAATTTTTATATAAATTTTATATTTAAAAAATTAAAAATTGAAATTAAGTTTATTAAAAATAAA